GGATATTTGGGCCTAGGAGAGAAGACGATGGGGTCTGGAGAAAACTACATATTGATGAACTTAAAAATTTGTACCTCCCCCAGCATTGTCAGGGTGATTAAGGCAAGAAGAATGAGATGCGTGGAGCATGTGGTGCACATGGATGGGGCAAGAGGTGTGCACCGGGTACTGGTTGGGAAGCCTGAGGAGAAGAGACCTCTGGGGAGACCTAGACGTAGATGGGAGGATAATCTCAGGCGGGATCTATGGGAGATAGGAGTTGAAGGAGACTGGATTTTGTTGGCCGAGGACAGGGACCGGTGGAGGGCTTTGGTTAATTCGGTGATGAACCTTCGGGTTCCGTAAGCCATCTGGTTGGTTGGGTCCACTATTTGGGAAGCCTGAGGGGAAGAGACCTCTAGGGAGACCTAGACGTAGATGGGAGGATAATCTCAGGCGGGATCTATGGGAGACAGGAGTTGAAGGAGACTGGATTTTGTTGGCCCAGGACAGGGTGGAGGGCTTTGGTTAATTCGGTGATGAACCTTCGGGTTCGGTAAGCCATCTAGTTAGTTAGTTAGAAACAGGAAAGCAGTAGGAAGTCTTTCAATTATTGCTCATAACATTACAACATAAGAGACACACCACATCAAGATAAAGAGATCTGTGTCAAGACTGTAAGAATGTCTGCACGGATACTTATGTTTGTCGGAAAAGTGTTGCTTGTATGAAGGTAGTGAAGGAAGAGGGGCAAGAGCTCATTTTATGCTGAATATTTTGACAGTGGGTGTTGAACAAGTAATCATGTGTGCATTTGAACTCCTCTGCATTCTTTCCTGACAGTGACATCAAACTTACGCTTATATTCCTGAAAGTTATGTCTCTGGTCATGGTTCTACTCAGGATGTAACAGCCCATGTTTGAGAAGGAATTGCCATGCTCAAAAGTATCTAATCAGGCACTAATGTGAAAACAGAATGTTTGTCAAATAAACTTGCAGACATTTTACACTAATGATTATGTCTACAAGTGGTAAAGTTAAGACATCTGGAGATGACAGTAACAAATCAAAATTAACTCCAACAAAAGTAAAGAGCAGATTCATTTTTGGAATGCTCACTACCATTTTCAGAATTTTGTATCTTCCATTTTCTGTACGAAAAGCTAAAGATTGAAATAAACGTAAAACAGTAATTTTACACGATGCTTTATCTTGGTGTGAAATACATTCTTTTACAAAAAAGGAGAACATACATTATGGGTATTTGAGGAGACACGGCTGAACAGAATATTTGGCCTGAAGACATAAATAAGAGAAGTATAGAGAAAATTACATAATGAGTTTCTTAATTTTATTATTTTATATTATTAGGGTGATCAGATCAAAGATGAGATGAAAGGGGCATGTAGGCCGCATGCGGAAGATGAGAAATGTATAGGAAACCGGCTAAAAAACGTGAAGGGACAAAACCACTGGGGATACCTAGGCATAGATGGAATTATAAAATTGAAGTGGATATTAAGTAGGATGTAATGGTATTAACTGGATTCATCTGGCTCAAGATAGGGGTCAAAGGGTGGGGGGAAGATCTTCCATACACTATAATGAACCTCTAAAATACTGGTAACTTTTAACCAGACAAGCGACTACAGTAAACTCTTGATTATCATGTGCAGATTACCAGTGTGTATTTCTTTTTACATAAACATGGACATATGTGAACTAGGCTGTTTCTCTTTCTGCAATCCACTGTGCACTTTTAAGGAGGGCGGGGGTTGAGAGGGTCTGCAGAAGATATGGTCACAAGGTGCCTTGTGTTTTTACAGTCAGTTTTTGTCAGTATCCATGGTGAGGTGGGTAGGATTCCTCCAGTGGACACAGTGATGGAGTGAAGGGGATGCTACAGATGATTTGTCTTTTTCAAATATTAATGTCTTAAGTCACTTCCATTACATTATACTGTGTATGGGCGGCCGCACACCAACTGCGTCAAGACAAGCATCAAGACATGAGACAAAAGACGCAGTCTTGCTTCATTCGTGATTCAGACTCGAGTCCGCACACCGAAGTAGCACGTGTCTGCGTCTTAGCACATATTCTCTAGTTGATGACATGACGTCGTCCAATGAGGAAGATATTTTAATGTACATGTGGCTTAAATTACGTAAAAGAAGGAAAAGGAAGTGGATTCATAACTTAAATGAGTCGTGTGCTCAACATGGTGCGTACGTTTTAGCGCGCGACTTGTTAAACGGTCCAGTGAAATTCCAGTCTTATTATCGAATGTCCCCAGAATCCTATAAGGAACTTCTTCAGAGAGTTTCGCCACTATTGAGGAAAGCAGGATGCAAACTATAGGAAAGCTATTAGTGCTGATGAACGGCTACTTATAACATTAACTTACCATCTATGTTTACTTCTTTTGAAACTGCATGCCAAGCTTTATCAACCTCCTCCTTGTTCGAGTGGCCCGGGGTCGAATAATCGTATATTACCGGGAATTTCACTATCTTAATATTTGTTTACTCTTCACTCATGTCGATAACGTACACTGGTGCTGTTCCTTGAGTACTGATGTCTCAGTCCTGACGCACAGAAAAGGAACATGCCGAGTCTTGCTGCACGTGTCTGCAGCATGAAGCTGACGTCAGCATCATGATTCAGACCGGTGTGCAGCGGTTTCAATAATCTCATTCGTTTCAACTGTGCTCCTTTCTTTTCGTCATGTCGCAGACATCGTGTCTTGACGCATGCCGGTGTGCGGCCTACCTACAAGTTAGGTGAACGCGGCAGTTAACACTTCTGTATTCTAAGTAAAATGGCACTGACAGTAAAACAATTACTAATTGAAGAATTTAAGAACAATGAAATTTGTAAAGGGCTGTGACAGTGGACTTTCCAACCACATGAAACACTTTTTATATGAAGAGGTGGATGTTGTGTGCACAGAGAGCTAAGTTCTTTCATGAAGCTTTGCAACTGCAAGGTGAGTTGACTTTACTACACTACATGGACCAAACAGGGTTTGAATATACTGACATTGCAGCTGCCCAGAAAATTGATACTGCTGTGAGGTAGAGTATATACAGTTCACAAAAAACTAGGGGCCATTATAAATTACTTCACAAATAAATGTCAGCTGTGTAAAAGAAATATTACGTAATTTATGATATTCTGTGAATGCACCAAATAAAATATTTTAGATTATCCATGTTTTTCAATGGTTCATGTGTCTTCTCCCCTTCATTAGCCGACATAATCAATCAGGAGTTTACTGTATCAGCTTCTCAAGAAAAACTCTGCCCCAAGGAGGTAATTACTTGCCACTTAATGAAAACAAGCCCTTAACAAATTCTTTGGACCATTATAATAACAAGTGATTGAAATGCACAAATCATTGCTTATTTTAACCATAAAAATTGCTTAATTAACAAAATTAATTTAATGCTTTGCTTGTGTCTTCCTTCTGACTGTTCAGGAATACTCTCCCACACTTACGACAATGTCAACCCCATCTCAGTACCTACCTGCAACCCTTGAACCCCCAGCAGAGGCTGATTATGATGAAGGGGAGGAGGAGTATGATGAGTACACAGACCCAAATAACTTCCAAGCAACCAGCTCCGCGGGGAAAAAATAAAACCCACCACAACTAACCAAACCCACTAACTGGCTCAAGTCATGCTTTTAGGTAAGTGTACATCCCTGTCGCTCATTATGTCATATCAGCATGAAAAAATTATAAAAATACATAGGTAATTGTCTTAAGGTGGCGACTGACTTTGTAAAATTTACTCGTGATGTAACATTCGCGGCGAGCATGTTACATTACACCACAACTGGTGAGGCGCATCGAATGCTCGGCTCGTGTGTGCTCCATTCATTTCATTCAATATGTCGGACATGGAGGTTGTGTTATCTTTGTTCCATTTATTACGCTACTGTTATTTAAAGAACTCGTGAATGCTCATTACGACGCCTCTCGACTGACTTACTGACTTGTAATGTAACACTCAAAGGGATTCGCGAAAAAACTGACAACACGATGGAGCGCCCGCGAGCGGCTCCGTTCGCTGTCTTCACTTGTGTAATGCTCGATTTGTAACACGTTACATTACAGGCAAATGTTACAAGTCAGTCGCCACCTTTAGACTTATTTCCAATACTGAATGGAAGTTGACATGGTCAGAATTTATCTTGCTAGGAGGAAGAGTTATGATAACTTTAAACCATTTACAGCTGAATCATGCAACAAAAAATATTTCTTTGGGACTATCTGAATAAAGTGGTTAATCACTTTAATTCTTTCATCACCTATAATTATTTTAGCCCAATAATTGGGAAGGAAACACAACCTTGTTTTAACTGAATTACAGCATGAAAACCTACAATCTGACTTGAAATTTGCTAATATGCTCTGTTTCTAGTTCTTAATTTCATTTGTTATGATTCTAATTTGTTTACATCACTTGAGCCATGTTCTACAGCACTGAATGGTTGATTAAGAAATGCATTAACGCGCAGAAAAACATGATTATTCGTGGCAGAAACAAACCATCACCAACTGCTACCTGAGCAGAGATGTGCCCGACTGCAGCCCTCTCAAACAAACAGGACACAATAGACCCTGTAGAATATGTTTGGAGCTGTATGTTCCGTGTATCTAGTTTTGACTTCCCATTCTGTCTGTCCTATACATCATCTCGCAATGTGGTTATGTTTATTTAAAGCAGAAGAAAGAGGGAAACCTCACTTCACAATCCTGCCAGATGGTAAGAAAGTCCAGCATAAATATAAATTAAATTTGGCAATGAAGGAAACCACTTACCACAGTAACAGCACATATAAATTGTGATGGAAGGAAAGGAATGCTGATATCTTAACCTTACTGAAAAAATTCACACTGTGATAAAAGTCTCTGACATTTTCCTTCTGCCACTGTTCTGTCTTCCCTCACCTAAAAGAACCAAAGGAGAAAAGCAGTGAGTAAAATACAACTAGATGTACGAGGCGCGTCCTCAAAGTAAGTTTCCCTGGGGCCGTTTACAGAAACAAAACACAATTTAATGGAAATATTTATTGCAACAGATACAGCAAGTGTCTAGCTATTTTTCAACATATTCGCCACCGGAATTGAGACATTTGTCATACCGTGGGACCAACTTTTGAATACCTGTGTCGTAGAAGTCTGCCGCCTGGGATTGGAACCACTGTGTGACAACCATCTCCGCCTCTCTTTCATTCTCAAAACGCTGACGCTGACCGGACAGGAATTTCTTGAGGTGTAGGAAAAGATGGAAATCACTGGGAGCGAGGTCCGGGCTGTAGGGTGAATGATTAAACACCTCCCAGCTGAACTCCTGCAGGAGACTTGCTGTCCGTCGAGCCGTGTGCGGCCTAGCGTTATCACTGATTGCACTTCACAGTCGGCGGGAGCTGGAATAAGAACCTCCATCTTCAACAGCTGCAACGATGCTACTGAGAGAATGCGGGAGGTTCCGTTAGTGCATGCGCCATGCTACATCATTGCTCTATCACGTACGCACAGTCGCTTCGCGCAATATAAGGTTTGCTAGCTGTGGGACGAGTGGGAAACTTACTTTGAGGATGCGCCTCGTATATACGAGAGAGAAATATCTGCCAAGAGGTATACCGTATGGTTTTAGCAGAGGCATGCCTTATCCTTCATTTTAATTCATTACCTAGTCAGAAATATTATTTCAGCACCTCAATAGTACAATTTTTCAGTTAAAACATTTACTGTTCTCCATTCTTTACCGTAATAAATACATAAATAGATTATTACAAAATTCAGTGGTACCACATATCTGTGGTCCCTCCTGGAAAACCCAGTTTCCACATGCATTCCTTGCACACTTCTTCTACTTCTAAATGTGCATTGCCCTTGGAAATAATTTCTCCTAAACAGTTTTAAGAAAGCCTTTAACATACTCTAACCTAGCCCAATATTAGAAGTGTCATCTAACGTACACTTCAAAACACCAATACCCCCATTAATTATTTCTGCATTTTACTTGCACTCTCTTCTTTAACATTTGAAAGAAACAGGTGTGACTATTCACTCTGGAGGAATAAACTGAACAATGTACGCTGAAATTTATCTCAAGCCTAAGTCTTCCAATGGGAAGATGGAAATGAGATAAACTCTCGGTATTTTCAATCAAGTTTCACATGAGAGCTGAGTTGCAAAATAATGTTCATTTATGAAGATCCACTGTGCTTTGGTAAACAATATTCTGTTCTCGGAGTAGTCAAATTGACATACAGGTGGTACCAACTGTTGAAAGAAAGAAAAGTTCCAAGATACTTCCATGCTGGTTAACACAACTTTTGAATCAGCATTTAAAATATGATGTTATTAAACGATAAGCACCGCTTACTTTTTCTTCCCTTATGTAAAACACTATTAATGCGTAATGAATACAAACTTGAGAGTGTGTGTGTTTAAGCGCATGCAAGACTGGTTCAATTAATTGTTCACTTTGGTCTCTGATGACGAGATTTCAACATATGACATTTCGTATTAAAAATATATTAAAATTATCCGTCAATCACAATATAATATTAATTAAAAGATTAAAATATCATTTAACGTTCCCTATCGAGTACTCGATTTACAAATGGAACATACACTACATGTTCCATTTGTAAATCGAGTACTCGATAGGGAACGTTAAATGATATTTTAATCTTTTAATTAATATTATATTGTGATTGACGGATAATTTTAATATATTTTTAATACTATATAAATCACAATATGACGCATCTACAATATCTTATATATGACATTTCATGTAACCTTCCAGTTTTCAATGCAGCAACTTTTGTTTCAGTCTCTAATTAAAGAAGAGTGGCTACACGGGAACCAGAAGTAACCTCCTCGATGTGTACAAATAGTCTGTAACTGAAGCCGTGTTAAAATCAAGTGTGTACATACTGTACTTATGACAACTCAGTGTATAGAAACAGGAAACTACAATGCTTTTGTAAATTTGGAACTGAAAATATAAACTATGTGCTTACAGGGTAACAGAGCCTTGTGGGTAGTAATGTGTGGGTATCAAGAGATAAGAGATCGGAAGGTGATAACAATTTGGGAACTCATAAAGTGAAGGGGGTAAGGTAATATTATTCCTCATGAATGGATGCTCATAAAATAGAAATCAAAGTTATTTATGCTATCCAAGCAGTAGATTGGAAAAATATGTATGTATAAAGAACTCGGTGGAATATCTGTACGCGGTAATGAATGGTACAACAAACTGTAAATGTATGTGTTCGAAGTTACGTTAACAGTGAATAAAATCAACGCCGTGGTAACCTTCACAAGCAAAACATCAATTTATCTTCGTTGGTCAATGAAATACAGCATAAAATTGCAAAGTAAATGCCAAAATAATAATTCTACTTAAAAAAATGTATATTATTCATTGAGAATGAATGTATTTGTTTCTACCCAACAGACTTATACAGGGACAATGAGTTGCTAAATGTAAAGATTTATGTGTGAAGTAATTGATGTGATATTTTATGGAAATTAATGTATATCTCAAGAACACTGCCAGGTACGTAGCAATGTTTAATGGTAAGAAGAATAATTTCTTATGGAGATGAAATTATCTTTTTAATTTTAATTGGAAATGATTTGGAAAGGTATAAAGTATATATAACCAGCTAAAAGTGACTGCCAAAATGGTGAATATAACAGAGAAAACATTAATACATTCAGTGCAGATAAGAAAGTTTAAAATATTAATATGTATAATTCACATCATTTAGGAAGCACCAGACTTCCTGAAATCTAATTGACAGCTCATTTATTAACTGTCAAGAATTTAC